ACAAATCCAACATTACAAATATAAAATACTTACATGTCCAAAAATATATGATCAATTCACTACATCTTCAATATTCATTATCTGGAAACGGGAAAGTGAAACCTAACCTAAACCTAAAATTAGAAAATCTATTTTGTATATGTATTTTATATTAAATATATATTTTTTACATAAATGTACAGCGGGGGCCCCCGCGGGAGTACGGGACGGAAATACCAACTCCCGACCCCGGTCCTGAAAATAAACGGGGTTTAATTATGCCCCCGCCCCCGCTCCCACTCCCAGTTTTTTTAAAAATTTAGTCTCGTACGGTATCGGGGTCCCACGGGGGTTTTTTACATCCCTACTTCAAATAGAACTTCCTGAAAACAAAAGGAAGTTTTTTTTATCATAGGACAGTTGATGAAAGCTTGGTAAATATTGTGTTCCTTGCATGACCTGTATGCATGTCGTAGAAGGGTGAACTTTGCTCTACTACATCATAAAGCAATGGTGGAAAATGCTAAAAATACATGAGAACATCAACTCGGTAGCCATTATTTTTATCCAATTCATTAATTAACTTCTTTTGGTTTTCTATCTATAATTTTTTTCAACCTTTTTTCATATTCCTTAATTGGCTTCACATTTACTTCATTTCCTCTAGATTCCTACTCAATCGAAGACAATAATTAGCCTTTCGTACATTACATATTCTCCAAAGCATTTCATCAAACACCTATTAGGCATCATCACACATTTCTCTTCGTTTAATAATTTATACCATGACATGTTCACTTAGGCATTTTCATCAATGTGCACGTAGCAAGAAATAACATAATATCCATACATTTTAATTTGTTGTTATTAATATAAAGACTATCGTATATCAAGATTGAACTTATCGTTGACATCTCTAGAGTGACTCATTTGATTCTACGGTGAACTGTGAGAAGGGGGAAGTGTATAGAAATCAGCAATCCTAGAAGTTTGAAAGTAGGATTACTGGAAAGCAAGCAAGAACTCGAAATGGTGAATTGAGAAAATAGGGATACTATTAGGGAGATTGAAAACAAAAGAGATAATTTAACTTAAAAATTTTATGTGTAAAGAGGGAAAGAGGGAGAGATAAAGCATACTTATTACTTGGGAAGTATGAGATTAGGTGTGGGGAAGAAACGTGGTGGGATCTTCAAAACGATTCTCAAGTACGACCGAATAACTACAAAAAAAAAACGAAATTATAAGTGTAAACAAACATTAACAAAACTATAGATTAAAGTATGCAGCAGATGGGCAAAAATCACAAATTGTTTAAATGTTTGTCATGAACTTCCCTGTGATTAAAGATGGTGGTTATCGGATACTCAAATGAGATTTGATGAAGATAGTAGTGGATATCCTTTTTTCAGAACTTAGAATAAGGAATAAGAGAAATCATATTAATTGGAATTGACCAGCACATTAGTATCATTTAAAACATTTAATGCATTCCATATTTAATTTAAATATAAGTATTATGTGGATTTTTAATTTATAATTTTAAAAAATCCTAGAATTTGACATGTGGATTTTATTAATCCCAAGAAAACTAAAAATTTACATGCGGCAAATGTGGCACAAATCATTTTCATTTATTATGATTGACATGATAATATATGATCAATGGTCTATGAGTTTGTGTTATTACGAGAATTAAATAAGGCGTTTATGTTTTTTACACAAATAATATGGGTTTGTGTTATTACGAGAATTAAATAAGGCGTCTATGTTTTTTACACAAATAAAAGAAGAGGTGAAAATAGCAAGTTATGTTGAGTTCCACCCAAAAATATTACAATTTTGATACTACTGATATTAGTCTCACTCTAACACTTGTCAAACATTACACTTAATCACTTATAACATCGTCTTGTTTCTTGTTTTGTCATGATTTGTCTTTTCTTGTATAATAAACATATAATCATAGTTTGTTTATTGAAATTTTAACTTTAGTTGATTATATGAATTGTTTATGCCAAATAACTTGTTATGTAAATGAAGTTGATGGAAAGGTTAAATGTGAGAAACCTATAAGTGATGACTACAATCTTGTTATATCCGAAAGAATGGAATGAACCATTATTAACGTATGTGATTTCTTCTAACTTGTTAATTTGTATTTCTTAGTAAGTCTAATTTTTTCATTCTATCGTAAAACAAAATAAAAGATTACAGTATAACATATTTTTACTAATGTAATTTGTAGCGAAATAAAAAATTTAATACTGTAATCAAATTACAATTTGATTTTTTTTAAGAAAATAAGAAAAGGGATTATTTTTTATAACTTATTTGGAGTTTAATTATTTCTTTTATAACTTCTTAAACCTTCCATAATTCTCAAGTTCTTTTTTTTGATACTCTACCAAGGTAACGTGAACTTTTTTTTTTCTTTCTAGGGTCAATACAAGAAATAACAATGTACTTCTTTTGATTTGTTTAGTACATTGTTCTACTCTCATTTATTACTATTACAATTTTGTGCTTTGAAAATATACTTGATTACAACTATTTTATCCAAATATAAAACAATTTTCATAATTATGTAAGATTTTTCATGGGAAATTACCGAAAAAAAACATTACATTTTGGATGGTTTGCAGTTTAATTATTGACGATATTATTTTTTCCAATGAAACCATAAAAGTTTCAAATGTTTTTCCAAATTAATCGTTTTAACTAGGTATCACTTGTAAATTTCCAAATAAACCATTTTGAAAATTTTTTATGGTTTGATTGGAAAAAATAAATAATAATAATTTTCCTGTAAACTTGCCCAAAACATAATAGATTTTCTATAATTTCCAATTATTAATACATAATGTCCTAAAAGGAAAAAAAATGAACTTTTGATGGTCTTTATTTTTTACTTATAATAACAATGAACTTTATTTATTCTTTTACTTTAATTTTATTTGTTCCATAGTGTTATTATCGCTAAAAAAAATATAATTATGTTGTTATTATGAGTAGAAAGTGTATTATAGTCTAATGGGAGACTATTTAAATGGTCTATTGGTCCAATTTTATAGATAATAATAAAACCATATAAAAGGTCATGAACATTTTCTTCACATTTTTCCATTTAATGTGTTTTACTAAAGATATTTTACTAAAGATGACCAACAAATCTACTTATCAATCAAATTATTTTGTGTTATTTTCGATTTTCTATCTTGCTATTAATTTAGGATTTTGGTGGTGTATACATATCAACACATAATGGTAAATGTGTGGTCGCATTTAATGTTTAATTCAATTTCGTTTGACACTATTTATGTTTCAAGTTAAAAGGAAACACTCATTTATAGCTTAGAAGGTTAAAAGGAAACACTCATTTAGCTTAGAAGATTAAGAATCTGTTTTTTCCCATTGATGTATCTTTGTTTTTTGTTCTACACCGAAAGACAATGATCTAAATAAATGACCATTTTACCCTTCACTTTATCATCTACCACGTCAAGGATTAACAAAGGTGAAACTAAATCATAATCCCCCACCGACTTCACTTTTTTGTATATAAGTTGTTTTTTTTTTATTAATTACAAAAAGTATATTTTGACGTCGAATAATGGAGCCTTTATGCATTCCAACGTCTACTTTACACTCGAGTAATGCTTGAATTCACATTTATATGTTTGAAGGGCATACTAGTATTTTACTCTCATTCAAACCAGCCCAAACTCCAAAGAAAGTTTCTTATCCATACAACACATCTTACATCATTTATCCATTCAACATTTTATTCGTTCATACAAAAGAAACAAGCCCTAAGAGGTTGTATCATTGTAGGAGTAAAATGTTGTATTGTATGCATAAAGTCAATTTAGTTCATTTTTAGATCAAAAACAAACTGTCTAAATGAGACTAAATGACCATTTTATCCTTATATTCTGATTTCACAATATTCATCAATTTTAAGTGAGGTCTTGTTTATTTCAATTTTAAGCACATATGATGTCCTCCTTTGATTAAAAAAAATGAATCTTTGACCTATTCTACAATATTTTAAGTAAAATAACAATTTTCCAGTGTACACTACTGCAACAAATGTGTAAAAAAACAATACTTTTAAAACATGTAACTCATTTTGCTTCCTCTGAACTCATGACATCTTGCATTTCAAGCAGTTTTTGTTGCTCATCTTCTTGAACAACAACTTGTTTAACATCAACAGGTTTGGAATTAGGGTTCTTGCTAGTAGACTGCTGATACATAACCCCACCAAACATACAAATCAAAAGCCCAATTGTCCCAATAAAACTCGAATGTTTATCCCAAATCATCAAATTAATCACCACAGTTAAAAGCTTATTCACAATCCCAAGAACTGTAAAACCCGTTGCCGAAATCGCCCTTCTACAAGAAAATCCAAAAAAAGAAATCGCCAAACCAAACAAACATGATAAACCCACTGGCAAAATCACCTCAAAAGAATACCAATCTGTCTCCTCTTTAATTTCATGTCTTATCTTCTTCAATTCCCCCATTATCAACAACTCCAATGGGAAAAGTAACAGAGCTTCAAGATTATTGTAAAGAACAAGACCCCATGTGTTCAAACCGATTGTCATTACCACATGTTTTATGTACACAAAATCTATGGACATGCTTATAAGATATGCTAAAGCCCAAGTGTACGCCATGAGGGTAAATTGGTAATCTGTGATGACATAAACCACACTCCCTGCAAAAATGGTGGCAAGTGAAAGCCATGTCTTTAGTGAAGGCCATGGTTGGTGGAGGTAAAGGGTTTCTCCAATGGCAACAAAGATTGGAACTGCTGATCGAAATACAATGAAGGTGTCAACATTTGCATGAAGGAGGAGTTCACTGTTTGTGAAGAGAGAAAGATAGAAGATAATAGCAGCTGGAAGGAAACGCCACATTGTTTGAAGGTCTAATCTGTCATGTTGGAGAAAGTTGAGGGACCCGAAAAGGAATACGCCTGATGCACTTGTGAAGTATTGTAAAGCTGTTAGGGCACCAGGGTAAGGGAATTTCATAACTGCCCATTTGTTGATGATGGAGAGTAAAGAAGCAGATAAGCAGTATCCTGCTGCTATACCGTATACTGAAACTTGTTGGAGGAAAGTATCATACCAGTTTTTTGATTCAATGATAGGTGGAGGAGGGAGGGGATCTTTTTCAGGGTTTTCCACATCATTTGTCATCTAAATCTGCAATCAGATAAGTTGATTTGATAAAAGTTTATGAATACATTCGTTTTTATTTTAATCCAACAGCAAACATAACATTTTTTTTTATTCAGAACAGATGTTATTAAGAACGGATTGGTCGATTTTGAACAGATGAGTCGATGTTATGAAGTACGGATGGATCGATTATGATTTGTAAATATAAGAAAGATGGAGATGTTATACCTGATTCCGTGTGTCGCAATTGTCGCTGATGAAGGAGGGGAAGGGATCGACGGTGGAGACTGTAGCGCCGCTGTGTCGGAGTTGTCGAGGCGGAGGAATCGCTAGAGGGACTGATTCGACTGACGGCGTGAAACTGAAGCAATGAACTGATGTCTGATGAAGGTCGTCTCTCGTCCGGAGAGAACCGGAGTTAGCAGCGGGGCCAAAAAGACTAATAACTGAAACACTACGAACAAAAATCTATGGAAATGCGCAACTCATACTTCTGCCGACAAAATTAATCCAAGGAAACAAACTTGCTATTGCAAACACAGCAAAAAAATTATATGCTAGATTCTATAAATCTACACAGCATTATAGTCGTGTGATCTGTAATGAGTGTTTAAACAGATCTGTAAATTTCAAGAGAGATTCAGAGCGACGTACCCACCTTATTTCTGGCGGAGAGTGTGCCGTGAACTTGGAGAGTGAAGAAACCAAGGGATTTGGAAAGGGAAGAAAACGACGGGTTTAATTGTATAATGTGAGTTTTAACCCTTTGAGGAAGAAAGAAAATGAACTTGAAAAAAAGCATAACGAAGATGGTGTTTTATTATTATTATTATTATTATTATTATTATTATTATTATTATTATTAGGATTATTGTCCCTATAGCCCAATAAAGTTACGTATAATAGTTTAAATAGTCCATCGTGACTATTTTTTGCATTTTAAGGGCATAAACTTGTGTTTTACTGATTGGGAAAGTCATCTTACCCATTTTAGCAGGT